CCAGTGCTGGGTGCTGCGGAGTCCAGCCCAGCTGTTTGCAGCCTGCCTGCCTCTGCTGCATCTGCCCAGAGCCTGGGCTGGCTGTGACAGGCAGCCAGGAGGCTGCATACTGCTGAACTGCGTTCCCCGACCTGAGTTCATGGTGGTGGCAGCTGCATGTGCACCTTGGGATGGACAGCAGGACAGGAACCAGGGCTGTGTTGGCCCAATCCCCTTCCTGCTTGTGCAGTCAGAGGCATGCACACAGCCGCCACCATGGAGTCGGTACCGGGGCTGTGGAGCCCGGGGCAGCTGTTTGCAGCCTCCTGGCTGCCTAACATAGCCAGCCCAGGCTCTGGGCAGCTGCAGCAGGCGATGGGCAGGCTGCAAACAGCTGTGCCAGGCTCCGGAGCCCGGACACCAGCTCCACGGCAGCGGTCCGTGCACATGTGCCTCGCAGTGCATGGTGAGGAAGGGGCTGGGGCAGCAAAACCCTGGCCCGTCTCCTGGCATCTGCCCAGAGGCACGTGCACAGCACTGCCAGCAATAAGGATCTGGTCCCTTGTAGCTCACTTGCCTCTGGCACACCAAGCCAAGGCATGGGTGGAGGTTGGGGTGTTGTTGGCGCTCCAGCCAAAAAGGTTGCCGACCCCTGTCCTAGGGGGAGTGGACAAGATGCTGCTTCAGGTTATTTCATTCCTCCCTTAAGGCACAGACTAGGCCTGGTCCAAAGTGCGTGTAAAGTGGATGGGTGACCTGTCTGTAGAAACAAGCAGCATAGCAACAAGGGTTTCATTGTTCTTTGCAAGGGAATAATGTTCAATTCTTTGAGGGTAAGGATGAATTGGTCCCAGATGCTTGGGATGCTGAAAACATCCAGGCCTGTTTGGTTAATGGCCTGTACTTTTTGGCTGGCTTAACACAGGTTTTCTGGGGGGAGGGTGTTTGAATATTGCTTGGCCAGACAAAAATACAGGCTGCTTGCTGGATAGGTGAAGAGACCAGTTGGGATCTGAAGTCAGGAGGGTGATTGAAGAGGGTCTCGGAGAAGGGGTTCTCGCAAAAGAAAGGATGCCTGCCTGAAGTCTGTTTCTGTTACCTCGTCTTGTCTTGTGAACTGGCCTCATCATCCTTCTTCTGGCACAGAAATTTTCCCGTCTCCTTTTAAAAAAAATAATATTACACCAACTCTGCTGTATTTTCCAGAACAGCAAAACGTGTGCCCAAAGTCCCAGGAGGAAACACTAATCGCGAGCTGTGGAGAAGTTTGCTACATTATCACCAGGCAGTTTGGGGGCTGGGAGTCATTTTGGCAAACGGCCTTTATAAGGATTGAACTGTGCTAGGGTTTGAAAGGCTCTGCTGCTTCTCAGATATTTACTCACTCAGCTGTGTTTTCCAGGCAAAAGAACCCAAAGCAATTATGAAGATTGAGCATTTAAATGCGACTTTCCAGCCTGCAAAAATAGGGAACCCACATGGACTGCAAATCACTTACTTGAAGGACAACAGCACAAGGAACATCTTTGTCTACCACGAAGACGGCAAGGTGAGAGCTCACAGATAACCCAATGGGTGGTGGCAGGTCCCCAGTGACAGGAGTGCTCCACAGAGCCAGTTAAAACAGCAAGCAAGCCCATTAGCCAGTAGGCACCCTATCTGGTCACAGGCCTGTGGGCTCCTGGCAGCTTTCAGAGCAACTGTGGACAGCGTTGGTCTCTGAGATAGGGAATATTGCTATATATGTTTTCTTCCTGCCCATGGGCTTCCAGACCCTAAAACCATGCTCATAGTGGGAGTAAAAATCCTCCTTTAATAAATAGAAAGGAAATGTATGGGGCAGAAATGGCAGAGGCCGAGCGGCAGAGAGATGGGAAAAGCAAACTGATTCTTTTAGGGCCTCCCAAGTATGTAAGTAAGCACGTCAGATGTGTCTGCATCCAGTTGTTTTGCAAATGCCCTTTGCAGTGGTAGCCAGCACTTTGGATTAAAGCATGCATTTTGCTGCAGGAACTTGACATGTAGTAGGGAAACTATGTCTGGAAAACTGGGACAGAGCCATCGAGGGCCCCTTGCATGCAATAGTGCTGTCCAAGTGAAGCAGTGGGTGGCTGCCAGCAGAGTGAATGTCTTCTCAACCGAGGGAGAAGGAGCCAGCTGAAATTGTTTTTTCCCTGGAAGCCTCAGCCCCACTCCTGCTAAGCACACGACTGAGAGAATTGCAGTTCCAGTGTTTGACCCCTCGATGAAAGGTGGAGAGGGAGTATTTCAAAAGCCTAGCTTCTCCAACCCAGAGGAAGGAGAAACCCAGAAGGAAAAGAGGCACCGGGGGGACCTTGCTTCCTCTAAGGATTTGAGTCTAATCCAGGAGTCACAATAGGTGGTGGGATCAGACTGAAGGGGACTGAGCTCAGGAGCTCCTTTCATCTCTACCTTGCTTGTGCTCCCTAAGAGTAAAGTGTGTGTGTTTAAGAAATTCCATTAAGTCTGCATGTTCTTGCTTTACTGCTCCATATGTAGAGCCTAGGGCTCTGACAGCCGTGTAGTTCTTGCAGGGAATATCTAAGGCAATGCAGAAGGCTATGGCACTATTTCCAAAGCCTAAGTAGTTAGACAGCAGGGCCCCTCTGTGCTTGAGAAGGGTGTCAGGCATAGGGAGCATGCTCGAGAGACCTGGGAACAGCAACCGGTTTGTTTCCAGACCCAGCAGTGCATGGGATCCAGCACTTGGATCCCACTGCAGGAGCCAAAGAGCAGGACTTCCACCACAGCAGTTGGATCCAGAGAGCAGGGCTGTACCAAGGAGCCATATTTTCACAGCCTTATTTTCACGATGCAGCTTCCAACTGGATCATAAGGCCAGCCCAGAAGTGGCCATTGAATTGAAGCTGTCATGTTTCCGGATTTACATTCCCTTAGCGTCAAGCTGCCTTCCTCCTTTGGCAGTGCATTACGTTAAGCAGTGACTGCCTGTCTGGATAGCGTGCTGGGAGCAGTCGCACCTGGACAGGCCCAGCAGGGCTTCCTAGCACCAGCTACTCCTGCTGGAGAAGGATCAGCTCATCACTTAAACCCTTTCTCACTTTTTGTGCTCTCTCTTCCTCTTTCTCTGCTGAAAGGCCTCAAGGTAGATTTATTCCTTGACTCATCCTCAGACAAAACAGGCCAGTAACACTGCTAGAAAACAGCATCCCACTGATTGAACTGGAGAAAAAATGAGCTCTCCTGAGCTGTACAGATTCAGGGAGAGGCAATGCTGAAGAACATGTTTGCCTCCATCCTGTGCAGCAGTGAGTCTGAATAGCGTTTCCATTTAGCTCTGACTCTCCTTGTAGGCAGTAATTAGCATGTCGAGTCAGGTTAATCAGTCGAATGAGGAGTTTCTGTTATTCTAATTCTTTTTTTTTCCCCCTCTTCTGATCTAAGAAAAGAAATACAAGAAAGCAATTGCTGTTCCCCACTGAAAAGGGGCAGGTCTTGCTCCAGGCAGGAAGTGTTGCTTGATGGCATCTGTGTACCTTCTGATTGCTTCAAATACAGTGATTTATTTGTAGAGCTGTATTTCTTTAGCCTAGTGCTCTGACTCAACCCTCCGTGGCCTCCCTATTCTAGCACCTTGCAGTTCATTGCTCATCACAGCGAGGGACTCAATCACAATGAACGGTGCAGAGTGTTTCTGAATCATGATGAGCTGCTCCAGCAGAGTCGCTCCTAAAAGTCCCCCCTCTTGCCCCTTCTACTTGTGATTGCAGTGACAAGACACACTGAGTCCTGTGCGATGGAGTTAGATGTTGGTTCAACATGGCAAGGCATCACTCGAGTCCTTGTCAGCCAGGTCCCTGACAACGATTTTATTCCAGAAGCTTTCTCAGGAAAGATGTAATTGCTATCACGACTGTTTATGATTTGTTCAATGCTGATGTTCCACTTGGGCTTGTGGAGCATGCAAAACAGGGGTGATCCTGCCTCCAGGAGCTGAAAGATGCCTGCAGAGAGAAGAAGCCTGTAGGGGAGCTCAGACGAGGAAAAGATTTAGTGTTTTATTAACAGATTTTGTAAAGGATAAGCTCCCTGCAGGAGGCTGGTTTCTGTGCTTCTTCTGAGGACCTGCTGGTGTCTTGTCTGACTCTGGTCCAATTCCATGAACATCCATGGAGTTGCTCCTGCCTTAGGCTAGTGTAAGAAGCATTGGCTGAAAGCTCATGGTTTAATAGCTTCAGAGTTGCTGTGGGGTAGGACGGCACATTGGAAGGGCATGAACGTGGGGCTAGAATCACAAAGTATGGCTGTTCAGGTTCAAGGCAGGAGTGAAGCACTACATGGCATCTGAAGCCATTAGGCTCAAGTGGATGTTCCTGTCGATTCCTTTCTGTATAGGGAGGAAACACCAGGATGTAGGGGGACTAGGGAGGCAGCCTTCAACCTTGACCTTATATACAAAAAAATGATGAGCCATTAGGTCGCATTATTTTTAGTTACTCAGTCTGGATCTGTATGATAATCCTTGTTTCTCATAACTTCCAACTCATTTTGTTCATCACTAGCTCAGGCCTTGCTGCCTGTTACTCTTCCTGATAGTGCTCCCCACACCTTGGGAGGCTGGACCTCTTTAGCTATTCCAAATACAAGACCAGGGGTGCCTGTAGACATGTGGGGAGGCTGTGCCATTGCGCTGTAACTACAGCACATCGGGGCAGACTCGATTAATTGAGTCTGCTGATGTGTGCTAATTAAAGCACCTCCAGCAGCCTCCACAACTTGGTCCTAAAGCACAGAGAAGTGTATCATCCCTAAATGCTGACTTCTGGTTTGATAGGTTTGATAGATTCCTTCAGAGCCGGGGCTGGCTGTGACAGGCAGCCAGGAGGCTGCATACTGCTGCACTGCGTTCCCCGACCTGAGTTCATGGTGGTGGCAGCTGCATGTGCACCTTGGGATGGACAGCAGGACAGGAACCAGGGCTGTGTTGGCCCAATCCCCTTCCTGCTTGTGCAGTCAGAGGCATGCACACAGCCGCCACCATGGAGTCGGTACCGGGGCTGTGGAGCCCGGGGCAGCTGTTTGCAGCCTCCTGGCTGCCTAACATAGCCAGCCCAGGCTCTGGGCAGCTGCAGCAGGCGATGGGCAGGCTGCAAACAGCTGTGCCAGGCTCCGGAGCCCGGACACCAGCTCCACGGCAGCAGTCCGTGCACATGTGCCTCGCAGTGCATGGTGAGGAAGGGGCTGGGGCAGCAAAACCCTGGCCCGTCTCCTGGCATCTGCCCAGAGGCACGTGCACAGCACTGCCAGCAATAAGGATCTGGTCCCTTGTAGCTCACTTGCCTCTGGCACACCAAGCCAAGGCATGGGTGGAGGTTGGGGTGTTGTTGGCGCTCCAGCCAAAAAGGTTGCCGACCCCTGTCCTAGGGGGAGTGGACAAGATGCTGCTTCAGGTTATTTCATTCCTCCCTTAAGGCACAGACTAGGCCTGGTCCAAAGTGCGTGTAAAGTGGATGGGTGACCTGTCTGTAGAAACAAGCAGCATAGCAACAAGGGTTTCATTGTTCTTTGCAAGGGAATAATGTTCAATTCTTTGAGGGTAAGGATGAATTGGTCCCAGATGCTTGGGATGCTGAAAACATCCAGGCCTGTTTGGTTAATGGCCTGTACTTTTTGGCTGGCTTAACACAGGTTTTCTGGGGGGAGGGTGTTTGAATATTGCTTGGCCAGACAAAAATACAGGCTGCTTGCTGGATAGGTGAAGAGACCAGTTGGGATCTGAAGTCAGGAGGGTGATTGAAGAGGGTCTCGGAGAAGGGGTTCTTGCAAAAGAAAGGATGCCTGCCTGAAGTCTGTTTCTGTTACCTCGTCTTGTCTTGTGAACTGGCCTCATCATCCTTCTTCTGGCACAGAAATTTTCCCGTCTCCTTTTAAAAAAAATAATATTACACCAACTCTGCTGTATTTTCCAGAACAGCAAAACGTGTGCCCAAAGTCCCAGGAGGAAACACTAATCGCGAGCTGTGGAGAAGTTTGCTACATTATCACCAGGCAGTTTGGGGGCTGGGAGTCATTTTGGCAAACGGCCTTTATAAGGATTGAACTGTGCTAGGGTTTGAAAGGCTCTGCTGCTTCTCAGATATTTACTCACTCAGCTGTGTTTTCCAGGCAAAAGAACCCAAAGCAATTATGAAGATTGAGCATTTAAATGCGACTTTCCAGCCTGCAAAAATAGGGAACCCACATGGACTGCAAATCACTTACTTGAAGGACAACAGCACAAGGAACATCTTTGTCTACCACGAAGACGGCAAGGTGAGAGCTCACAGATAACCCAACGGGTGGTGGCAGGTCCCCATGTGACAGGAGTGCTCCACAGAGCCAGTTAAAACAGCAAGCAAGCCCATTAGCCAGTAGGCACCCTATCTGGTCACAGGCCTGTGGGCTCCTGGCAGCTTTCAGAGCAACTGTGGACAGCGTTGGTCTCTGAGATAGGGAATATTGCTATATATGTTTTCTTCCTGCCCATGGGCTTCCAGACCCTAAAACCATGCTCATAGTGGGAGTAAAAATCCTCCTTTAATAAATAGAAAGGAAATGTATGGGGCAGAAATGGCAGAGGCCGAGCGGCAGAGAGATGGGAAAAGCAAACTGATTCTTTTAGGGCCTCCCAAGTATGTAAGTAAGCACGTCAGATGTGTCTGCATCCAGTTGTTTTGCAAATGCCCTTTGCAGTGGTAGCCAGCACTTTGGATTAAAGCATGCATTTTGCTGCAGGAACTTGACATGTAGTAGGGAAACTATGTCTGGAAAACTGGGACAGAGCCATCGAGGGCCCCTTGCATGCAATAGTGCTGTCCAAGTGAAGCAGTGGGTGGCTGCCAGCAGAGTGAATGTCTTCTCAACCGAGGGAGAAGGAGCCAGCTGAAATTGTTTTTTCCCTGGAAGCCTCAGCCCCACTCCTGCTAAGCACACGACTGAGAGAATTGCAGTTCCAGTGTTTGACCCCTCGATGAAAGGTGGAGAGGGAGTATTTCAAAAGCCTAGCTTCTCCAACCCAGAGGAAGGAGAAACCCAGAAGGAAAAGAGGCACCGGGGGGACCTTGCTTCCTCTAAGGATTTGAGTCTAATCCAGGAGTCACAATAGGTGGTGGGATCAGACTGAAGGGGACTGAGCTCAGGAGCTCCTTTCATCTCTACCTTGCTTGTGCTCCCTAAGAGTAAAGTGTGTGTGTTTAAGAAATTCCATTAAGTCTGCATGTTCTTGCTTTACTGCTCCATATGTAGAGCCTAGGGCTCTGACAGCCGTGTAGTTCTTGCAGGGAATATCTAAGGCAATGCAGAAGGCTATGGCACTATTTCCAAAGCCTAAGTAGTTAGACAGCAGGGCCCCTCTGTGCTTGAGAAGGGTGTCAGGCATAGGGAGCATGCTCGAGAGACCTGGGAACAGCAACCGGTTTGTTTCCAGACCCAGCAGTGCATGGGATCCAGCACTTGGATCCCACTGCAGGAGCCAAAGAGCAGGACTTCCACCACAGCAGTTGGATCCAGAGAGCAGGGCTGTACCAAGGAGCCATATTTTCACAGCCTTATTTTCACGATGCAGCTTCCAACTGGATCATAAGGCCAGCCCAGAAGTGGCCATTGAATTGAAGCTGTCATGTTTCCGGATTTACATTCCCTTAGCGTCAAGCTGCCTTCCTCCTTTGGCAGTGCATTACGTTAAGCAGTGACTGCCTGTCTGGATAGCGTGCTGGGAGCAGTCGCACCTGGACAGGCCCAGCAGGGCTTCCTAGCACCAGCTACTCCTGCTGGAGAAGGATCAGCTCATCACTTAAACCCTTTCTCACTTTTTGTGCTCTCTCTTCCTCTTTCTCTGCTGAAAGGCCTCAAGGTAGATTTATTCCTTGACTCATCCTCAGACAAAACAGGCCAGTAACACTGCTAGAAAACAACATCCCACTGATTGAACTGGAGAAAAAATGAGCTCTCCTGAGCTGTACAGATTCAGGGAGAGGCAATGCTGAAGAACATGTTTGCCTCCATCCTGTGCAGCAGTGAGTCTGAATAGCGTTTCCATTTAGCTCTGACTCTCCTTGTAGGCAGTAATTAGCATGTCGAGTCAGGTTAATCAGTCGAATGAGGAGTTTCTGTTATTCTAATTCTTTTTTTTTCCCCCTCTTCTGATCTAAGAAAAGAAATACAAGAAAGCAATTGCTGTTCCCCACTGAAAAGGGGCAGGTCTTGCTCCAGGCAGGAAGTGTTGCTTGATGGCATCTGTGTACCTTCTGATTGCTTCAAATACAGTGATTTATTTGTAGAGCTGTATTTCTTTAGCCTAGTGCTCTGACTCAACCCTCCGTGGCCTCCCTATTCTAGCACCTTGCAGTTCATTGCTCATCACAGCGAGGGACTCAATCACAATGAACGGTGCAGAGTGTTTCTGAATCATGATGAGCTGCTCCAGCAGAGTCGCTCCTAAAAGTCCCCCCTCTTGCCCCTTCTACTTGTGATTGCAGTGACAAGACACACTGAGTCCTGTGCGATGGAGTTAGATGTTGGTTCAACATGGCAAGGCATCACTCGAGTCCTTGTCAGCCAGGTCCCTGACAACGATTTTATTCCAGAAGCTTTCTCAGGAAAGATGTAATTGCTATCACGACTGTTTATGATTTGTTCAATGCTGATGTTCCACTTGGGCTTGTGGAGCATGCAAAACAGGGGTGATCCTGCCTCCAGGAGCTGAAAGATGCCTGCAGAGAGAAGAAGCCTGTAGGGGAGCTCAGACGAGGAAAAGATTTAGTGTTTTATTAACAGATTTTGTAAAGGATAAGCTCCCTGCAGGAGGCTGGTTTCTGTGCTTCTTCTGAGGACCTGCTGGTGTCTTGTCTGACTCTGGTCCAATTCCATGAACATCCATGGAGTTGCTCCTACCTTAGGCTAGTGTAAGAAGCATTGGCTGAAAGCTCATGGTTTAATAGCTTCAGAGTTGCTGTGGGGTAGGACGGCACATTGGAAGGGCATGAACGTGGGGCTAGAATCACAAAGTATGGCTGTTCAGGTTCAAGGCAGGAGTGAAGCACTACATGGCATCTGAAGCCATTAGGCTCAAGTGGATGTTCCTGTCGATTCCTTTCTGTATAGGGAGGAAACACCAGGATGTAGGGGGACTAGGGAGGCAGCCTTCAACCTTGACCTTATATACAAAAAAATGATGAGCCATTAGGTCGCATTATTTTTAGTTACTCAGTCTGGATCTGTATGATAATCCTTGTTTCTCATAACTTCCAACTCATTTTGTTCATCACTAGCTCAGGCCTTGCTGCCTGTTACTCTTCCTGATAGTGCTCCCCACACCTTGGGAGGCTGGACCTCTTTAGCTATTCCAAATACAAGACCAGGGGTGCCTGTAGACATGTGGGGAGGCTGTGCCATTGCGCTGTAACTACAGCACATCGGGGCAGACTCGATTAATTGAGTCTGCTGATGTGTGCTAATTAAAGCACCTCCAGCAGCCTCCACAACTTGGTCCTAAAGCACAGAGAAGTGTATCATCCCTAAATGCTGACTTCTGGTTTGATAGGTTTGATAGATTCCTTTTTTATGCTAAAGTGACCTCCACCCGAAAGAATTCGAGGCGTTTATTTTAGGCTGAAGTCTGGCTTATTTAAAGTGTCCCAGATGTTGCAGTAATGAAGTCTTCACACCTTAATGACATGCAGATATTTCAAAACCTTGTGGAGACTCGTGGAGCTGCAGACAGCTGTTACATATCCCTTCCAGAAGGCTTTCAATTTGTCTGTACCTTTGAACTGTAATCCAGTATTTGAAAGTGCACTGATGCAGGTAATTTGCTCTAAATTAATGTAACATTTCTGAATGAAACTTAAAATGACTGGTGGCAGCACCAGGAATATAGATTGCACCAGAAACAAATCATCTTTCCACGTCGTTCCCCTTCTTTCCTTCAGCTTATCTGACAACGGTAGAGACGGTCAGACCCTGAGGGATCATGCTGCTGGCCAGGAACTGGGGTGTTATGATTGATACCGTACAAGATTATGTAAACCCAGTAGAAATCTTATACTGAGAAATGGGACTCCTCTCAGTTATGTTGCGTGAAAGCTGTTGCGTGTCACTAAAGAGCTAATGAAATACTCTTCCTCAACCTGAATGTTGCATAAGCTTCTTTTATGGTGTCTTTTGGATGGATCGACCTTAAATATGTCTATAGCAAAGCCCATATGGTCCAGTCCCGTGCAATGCTGCCTGTGTTGTCCAGTGCTCATCGCTAGGGTAGTATTGCAGAGGGTGAAGAAGAGACGGGGCTTTGTTGCACTGCATAAAAAGGAGGTTTTATATTAAGGATCCTGAACAGGGATATGCCTGTTAATTCTCTTGGACTCTCCGGCTGCTGGACTAGCCGGGAAGAAAGTGAAGAGCGGCAGACTGTGACTTGGGAGATTTGGGTTTTGTTCCTGGATCTGTCAGTGGTCTGCCATGTGCCATTGGGCCTCTCCCACTCTCTGATTTGACTGTGTGTAAGGTAGGGCGAGGGCTACCAATCTCCACCTTAAGGTGCTCTGCCATCTGCCAGTGAGACGGACTAGTTAAGCATTAGATATTCCCATTAGGAGAGCATGTGCTGCTCATCGTTGCCACAGAGGGACTCCTGCCAATGTTGTGTGATACAAGGCATGGCCTGGGCCAGTGCCACCAACCTGCCTTGTGGTTGTAGTGGTATTTATGACAGACCTGGTCTCTCGCACCGATTGCTGCGGGTGAGCAAAGGAAGGAGGTGAAAGCAGCTTCTTTTGGCATATTGGAAACAGAACTTGGAAATGAATGTAATACTGGGGAGCAAATGCCAGCTGTGGATCTGAATGACTTGCTAAATGTTGATCTAATGATTTTTTTACCTCTAGGTCTCAGTTCAGCTGAACCCTTGAGCATGTCCTTGACTTTGGATGTGTATGTCTGCCCACCCCATTGCAGCGAGGCTGGTAGACACCCGCTGCGACTCATCATGACCCAGTATTCAGTGAAGCTCAAGTGTACTCGTAAAGTCTAACCTCTGCTCTTGTCTGGCCCCCCCTTTCAGAGCCAGAGCTCAGCTGGGCTGTGTTGCTTGCAACAAAATGGTGGAAGGGACAAATCGTAGCATCATTGCCAGTTGACTGCATATTTACTGACTCCAGCTTCTCTTTTCCGTTGTTAGGAAATAGTGGATTGGTTCAATGCCATCCGTGCAGCACGTTTTCATTACTTACAAGTGGCGTTCCCTGGAGCTAGCGATGTTGATGTGAGTTTTCCTGTTGTTTTTTTTTCCCTAGTCATTTTTAGCATCTCGTTAACAAGCTGGAAAGTCTGGAGAGTACGCGGCCCTTCAGAGTCTGCCTTACAATTACTGTGTTAAATTATTGCACTGGGATTTGGAGCCCAGGTGCACCAGGTGCTAACTACATCTACCCACAGAAACTGGTGTGTGTGTGTCTGTGTATGTGTGTGTGTACGCATGGGTGTTCAAATGAATGTACATGCATGCACACACATCTTAATCCCTACCCGATTATCCGTGTGAGCCAGAGCCTCTTTGTACAATGTGGCTGCTACAGTACTATAAAATAGAGGCAGAGTTTGGAAGAGAAAGCCTGATCTTTTGATCTCTGCCTCTTGTTGGCTTAGATCAAGTATCAGGTTACAATTTGATACAGCCTGTATTGCAAGCCTATATCTGCTTTGTCTGGGAGCTGGAAGAGATAGCCTAGCTATACTGTGCAGGTACAGCCACACTATAGTATAGACTATAATATCAAAAATGAGTTAGATTTCTATTACAAGTAGATTATATTGTAGTTACACTTCTATTACTGTGTCATTAGACTAGTTAGTGTGTGTGTGTGTGTGTGTGTGTGTTGATAGCCGTAATTACCACTAATTTATTTAATTGACAAGTTAATTAATCACTCTTATCTCCTTGGTTTCATGCCCGTACAGGGTATATCAGAATGTATATTAAAATGCAGTTACATTATTCACATTGTAATAACTAACAGTTATATTAATTGCTGGTAATTATAGGCACTAAAAGCATAATCAGAGCAAAATTACAGTGTAATTGCAGTACAGTGAAACCCTTGTCTGACACTTCTTTCCCATCTCAAAGCACTGTGATTCTTTTAATACTGGCTTTCTATACACCTATACAAAATGCTTAGGAAAATTCACAAGCGTAAACAAAATATATTTGCCCAGCTCTTAGCATTATGATTGATAGTAGAAATCTGTTTCCTACCATCATTGGTGATGCATAAGCAGATAAACTAACAGCATTTTCCCCTGCCTATTATAAGAAAATATTACTTGATGATGCTGGGAACTGCACAGAATTTTGCAATACTGGATTTATGACCTCAGAGTGCCAAACCCGGCCTCATATTTTCAAGCCTGTGGAAATCTCTGTGGACAGTCTTCTTATTTATACTAATGGCTTGAACAGTGGGTGTTACTCGCTCCAAGTCTCCTTTGCACTGCCAGAGAGGCACAAAAGAGCCCTAAAGTGAAATGAGAACAGGACTAAGACCCTCAGGAAATAGGTGCAACAGATATTCAGATATATGTATGCAAGAATCACGGCCATGCCTTTCAAGCCCTTTAAAATGCCTTAAGCGGGCCTGATCCCTGGTGCGCTGGGGGAAAGGCTGTGCCCCACCAGGAAGGCGATAACATAATGTGCTTTGCTGCCCAGGACACTAAAACCTGCTACTCATCATGACCCAGATGAAGCCCAAGGTGCTGCAGGGTCTTTCTGCTCCAGAGACAGGCTCACTCGAAGCAGCTGGCTGCCAGGCTAAGATGGGGATATTCTAGATGGCAGCCAACTGGCTGTATGTGCACCGGTTGCTTTTTATATGTTTGATCCAAGGCTTTTGTTAGACAGAACGACACGGTGCAGGAAGATCACTCTGAAAGCTTTGCCATTAATAATGTGTTTTAAAAAAAAAAAGAGCAGCAGGGGGTGGGGAAGAGGAGAAGTGTTTCATCAGCCCTGTCAGCTCTGTGTGCTGGCAAGTCTCACTTTGCTTTTTAAAGAGCCTTGCAAAGGCACCTGAAACCATCTCACAGCTCACAACTCATCTGCACCAAGCACCGTTAAAAATATCACAGGCCCAAGCAATTATTATCAGGGCTATCTGTGTGCGGGGCGAGTCTGCAGATCTCCAGAGTAGCAGCAGTGCTTCAAGGCAGGTGGGAGGATAGGGGCTGTCTATCTGTAATGTGGCTGGTTCAAGCCCTGGAGAAGACAGCTGACATTGTTAGCTAATACCTCATGTAGCAGGGGTTCAACTATGAATCTGAGCCCAGTTCCTCAAGTGAGCAATCAAGACCCCGTCCCTGCACACCGTACCCCTGGGCAGACCAGTCCTTATTCGCTTTAGTAAGTCTGCTGATGTTTGTGGGGCTCCCTTTTGATGTAAGGGTTTATAAGCTTTATGGCCTCAGGTTTACTCAGCCCAAACTCCTGTTCAGATGAAAAATCATAATCTCCTGCAGGGAGCAAAAGTCAGAAGGCTTTTGCCACCCAGCACAATGAAAGAAGGGTTTGGCCTCAGGATTTCATGATTTGGGCCTGTTAGCAATATCTCTGGCACACTTAATCAGCAAGCTGGGCTGATTGGAGTGCTTTGTTCCTTTTCTAGCCAAGCTGAAGGCTTTGAAAGAAGAACTGCACAGGTTAGGTGTTCAAGAGCTGCCTGGTAAACTGTGGGTGCAGTCTTATTGTATGTGCAAGAAGAAGCAGGGTATGCAGCAAGAGGGCCCATATCCGGACCGTCCTAATGGATGCACCTTATTGCCATTAAAAATATTGTGTAGGCATTGAGGCTTCCTTGGGGCATGTCGTCATGGCCTGATCCAAGGTCTGGCCATGACTGCGAAACCTGCTGTCTGGGCTTATGCAGAGCTGCCTCCCACCTGAAATACACAGGGGTCACTCCAAAAGGGTAAAGAAGAAGGGGAGGGAAGAGCTAACAAGGTGTGATGGGATGTAGATGGGTCTTATCCACTCCCTGCGGGTGTCAGGGAGCCCAGGATGGGCTCCTGGGTGGGAATCCCTGGCTTCAAGTCTGAGCCTGCTGTGTGTGAAGTCAGCAGGAGTCTTGGCACTGCCTTTCATGGGTGCAGGCGTAGGCTCTTGTCTAAAAGTTCAAAGCTAGGGGTCATGGGTTAATCTGTGAAGTCCACATTTAGGCACTTGAGAACCCAATAGTCTCATTAAACTCTTCAAGGGCTATGTGTTCCCAGCACATCTGGAAGTTAGGCACCCCACTATGGCCTTAAGAGCCTATCCTGAGACCCCATTTTGAAAATCTTGCCCCTTGCTCTTCAGGTAAAGGTGAGGGAGGAATAGGAACGAATGCAGTCACTGCCATGAGACCGCTGCTCTAAAGCAGCCTCCCCGTGGGTCTGGCGGCAGCATGCTCTCTTATGGTTTTATCTGATAAGCCCCCACTGAAATAATAACTGGGAGCAGTGACGTGACTGAGCAAACGCCTGCGTGTGTGGCACGTGCCTCCAGCCATTGAATATGCACTAATGTTGCACTTTTCCCTTTCTTATTCTGACCTTTCTAGTTGGTGCCAAAGCTCTCCAGGAACTATCTGAAGGAAGGTTACATGGAGAAGACTGGGCCAAAGGTGGGGTGTCATGTGTCTTATCTTTTTTTTTTTCATTCATGCCAAATACAAGCATGTTTTGTGTTGTGCTGGGAACGACGTAATGGTTACCCAGTCACTACGTATTTTCTACAGCCTGGTGCACTGAACCTCACTGTTCAGGGCTTTGTAACCCCCTCTCCTTCGGGTGGGGAGCTGTGGCAGTGAGGACAGTCACAAGAAGAAAGGAGCCTGTTAAACAGTAAAATCACCTCTTCATATGCAGAAAATCACCTGCATGCAGAGAACCAGCACAGGCACCATTTAAGTCTATTGAATATAGAAGTCACAGTGGCACATTTCACCCATGCATGAAAAAACACCTAGATCTCTACACACAGCATCAGCACCAGTATAGCTATGTTGATGAGAGGTGGCATTTATCTATCGCTGTCAGTATATGGGTGTGGGCCCTAGCGTGGATGGAGTTACATCAATATACACATTCCTTGTACCTGTACAGAAATAAGGTATCTTGATGTATAGATTTTTATATCAAGATAGCTGCAGATGCCATAGAGGGGCAGGTGAGGGTTGTATCGCTGTAACACAGCGGTTCCCAAACTGTGGTCTGCAGACCCCTGGGACTATGCAAGACATCGCTGGGGGGGTACATGGGAGAAATTCTGTAGTGGCAGATTTAATTTTCATTATAATAATAATTGGCATTGAAGGGGTTAAAATTTAAAACGTATGCTGGTAGGGTTACGCAGGCCGCTCGTAAGTCTGGAAGGGGGTACGCAATAAGAAAAAGTTTGGGAACCTCTGCTCTAGCGGTTTTGTTAAATTGGTACAACATTTGTGGGTAGACGGGGTCTCACTAGCCGGTTGCTGTGTTGTGCTTGGGCCTGGGCAGCAGCAGCGTAAGTCAGCCACATGTGCATAGTGTAACGTGGTATTCATTAAAATAATAGCAGCTGCTCTGTGCTCTCGTGCCTGTCTGACTTCAGAGCTGCAGAGCATCTCCTTATATAGCCTGACAGATCTTGGAAACTTCCCACCTTCCTTCCTCCTCTCCCACGCACACACACATGCGCGCACACACATGCACGCGCACACACACACAAAAGCTGGGAGCTGGGTTCATCTTTTCAGACTCAGGAGCTTGTCTTTAACAGTGTAAGATTCAGTTTCTTATTGTCTTTTAAATTCATGTTCCGGGGGAGAGCGACGAGAGATTGTAGTTGATGGAACAGAAAGAAGCATTTTGGAAACCCAGGCCAGATAAATTGCTGGGGTCATTTTGCTTCATTCAGATAGTGATTTTTGCAAACAGTCCTTTCAGGAACTGCATGCCCATCATTTGCTTGACTGTGGAGCAGGGCCAGAGAGCTTTGTAAGATGCACCGTTTGTAAAATGGAGTAGATCACAGCCCCCCCCCCCCCCCCCAATTAGTTAATGCAGATCAGAGATATGCCGAGACTGCAGATCCCAGTGTGCAGCGCTGCAGCTCGTTCCACCCGCCATGCTGAGATCTGCAGGGCTCAGCTCTGTATTAAAGACCAGGCTGGCCAGAGTGAGCATGCGTTGGGCAACCCTGTTGTGGGAGCAGGTGCTGGAAATGTGAGCACTGGCCAGCTGTCTTCAGCATCAGCACCAGGCATCACAGTGCTCTGCAAGTGGCTGAGCAGTGAGGCTTTGCCAACAGTATTTAGTGTAGAAATGCCCTTTTCTTAATTTCTAGGAGAGAACTGGGAAACCTCACAATGCTGTCCCGAGCAAACCAGCCCTTGTGGACACTTAGACCTGGGATAGTAATGAAGTACCTGGACCAGTTAGATTTGAGCACCCACCGATTATGAGAATCCGAGTATTCAAACCTGTGGGAATCGGCTGCTGAGTTAACAGATCCATGAAAATGAATGAGACCAGCTGCCAGGCTTGTTGCAGGGCCTGAACTTGAGACTCCTATTCTGGGCCAGCAAGGTGCTTTCGGCGCCACAGGGACAGCACTCTCCTCTTAGAAGGCAGGAAGCAATTTGTGTCATTCTCCAGGAGTCCTTTTGGCTGTTAGAGGACAGATTAGCAAGACTAGATTGACAGAGCAGAGGCAGAATGGCTGACAGTCGAGCATGTTGGATGGAAGGAAGTAGAAGTGTAAAGGTGACCTGGAAGTTGGGGGAAAATGAGTCTTTTGCATCTTTTGGAGGTGCAGAAGACGGCTTGAAAAGGGTTTGTATTCCCCCCACCCTCCCAATATCCAAAACAGGATTTTGGGGAATTCCACTTATTGGATCACAATTAATAATGTGGATTCTTCCTGCACCTTTTGCAGTCCGGGCTGAAGCAGCCTGTCTCTTCCTTTTTTCACATCCTTGTGACAAGTATTTAGCAGAATTCACAGATTTGTTAGAATCTGACAGGCCGTGCCACGAGTGCTTCTGCTTTGGCCTTGAACTTAAACCTCTGGGTTGTCAACCATGCACCTTAGCACCTAGGCCACCCCAATCCCCGGGGTGTAGCTTTTCCCTCTCTTTCACTCCAGGCTAAGACTCCCATTAAAAGACACGGTCCTGTTTGTTATACTGGCAAGCTCTGCAAGTTACCCACCCCCGGGCAGTAATACCCTCTCTGCCGGTACTGAGCTTTCTAACCTAACTCAGCGTAGTGCTACTTTGAATGACACTGGGTGATTCTATACATTCATTAACGTACTGTAGTTACTGTGCATTAGGTTTAGTACTTGGATAACCAAGTACTAAATCAATGCTCAGTAACTTATGCTACTGCGCAGCAGCACCAGTGCGTGGATTTTTCAGGCAGCCTAATACTACTGCACAGTAGTGTATTAGCATGGGTTTTGCCTGGCACGCTATTGCACAGTTATTAAGCTACTGCACAGTTAAAGTCTCATGGGGACGCACACACTGATGCCCTGTAAACTCCCATGACATCTCTCCTTAGAGATGAGCCGTATTTACTTTCCTCTCTGTTTAACAATTACTTCTTGACCCTTTAGCAAACAGAAGGCTTCAAGAAGCGATGGTTCACTATGGACGACCGGCGGCTGATGTATTTCAAAGATCCTCTGGTAAGATGTCCGACTGCTCCTGCAAAGAATAGCCTTGGGCAGAGTTCACTTTCATTGCAGGGAAAGAGAGGATACGTAGTTCCTCCCAGGGAGCACAACCCCAGTTAACCATGTCCAGCGCACAACAGCCTGTTTCCCCATTCTTCCCGGCCATGGCTATGAGCCCCCATTGGGATTTACCCAAGTCAGGCACTTTTCAGTCTTTGTTACATCAGACTTTGCCTTGCCCTTGCCTTTTGTCCCCTTCTCTGTGCACAGTCACCTCAATGGTGGGTTGCACAAAGCATCCCAGGGGAGTCGGTTGCTCGGTTCAGAAGGGACTCGGTGCTTCACTTTTCAGAACCCCAGCCTAAAACCTGATGAGCATTGCTGTCATATTCACAAGGTCAGTCAGTATAACCACATGACTTCTCTTGTATCTTCTGGAGTAAGTAGAGGGGCAAAGCTACAAAGGGCTCAGCGGTGCCCACGAACCACTGAAAAGCACTGTAAAGGCATCAATCCTTGCTACATGCCTAGGGAGTACCTGTGAAGATGTTATCCCCACAAAGGGCTGAGCTTGACCTCGTTTCAATGGAGTTGCTCCTTGTTCATTCCCAGGGTTGAGAAGCAGGCCTTGAAAAGATACAAGGAATGAGCTCTGTGCCTTATATCATGCCAGTGGCAGAGCTGCTGCCAGTCTCACCGTCTCCATACCAGCCCACCTACCATTTTCTCTTTGTCTCGACTGATATGTTCTTTGAGAGCTTCATTGTCCTTCAACCAGGCAACCAAGCAGTGTTGCGTTTCCATTTCATGGTGCAAAGATTACATACACGCAGGCATATGCACTTAGTTGGACATGCAGGGCGACTTGTAAATCTTCCTGCCTGAAAAAATAGCAGGCTCAAGACATTGGAAAAATAGCAGGGAAAATGTCAAGTTAGGAATATGTCAAGAATACTGGAAGAATTTGTGTAGCGCGCCTTTGGGAAGTCATTGTGCCACTGGGCGCAGTCCCTAAATGATGTGACTAGGACCGCATTGAACGCAAGGAGGCAGCGAACTCCAGAGCCAGGGGAGCCGTGCTGTTTTGCATTCACTGAAGATCTGCTTCACAGTCTCTGGTCTGCTACTTATTAACCAGGAGTTTGTGGGGAAGAGGTTAGAAGTGGGAGATGTAAGCTTCTGCAGCAGGGGTCCTTCTTCGAAGGAGGTGGAGACACACAATGTGTCTGGATTTTGAACACCCTCAGGTTGCAGCCCAGGTGTTTGGTTTGGTGCATTAAGTTACAAGTGATTTTAAAAAAATCACCATAGCAAATTCATAATATTTGGTAGGGGGGGTCTAACCTCAGAAGTTGATTTCACACACACTTCTTTCCTTTGATGTGGCAGGCAGAACAGTATTACCACGCACTGAATGACCCACATTCCCCAGCTCACCTTGAAAAGGAGCTACGTTTTGCAAGTGCTCTGAAGTCATTTATTTGTCATCTTGCAGGATGCCTTTGCTAGAGGGGAAGTTTTTATTGGAAGCAAGGAAAACAGCTACAAGGTCCTGGAAGGACTCCCACCATCCACCCAGGGAAATCACTGGCAGCACGGAATAACGATCGTGACCCCAGACAGAAAATTTCTCTTTGCTTGCGAGACAGAAAACGATCAGCTAGAATGGATTACAACTTTTCAGAAAGTTATCAGCAGGCCAATGCTGCCTCAGGAATACGCAGGTGAGTCCTCTCACCAGGCTGACGGCCTTGGCAGACACAGTCCTTCACGTTAGAGAAAAGGGAGACAGCAGAGATGGGGAGCCTCGCACCTCATCCTCAAACCCAGCCTGCATAAGGCAGCTTCCTCGGGGGCTGTCACTGCTGTGCCCGTACCCCATCCCTCTGTCTCCTTAGGTAAGTGGACTGCAAACTCTTTAGACCAGGGTTGTCTCTTGCTCTGTGAGTGTTCAGTGACCCGCACCGAGTGATCTCTAATAATAATATTAATTGTCACCTGAATTGGTACAATCAACAGCAGCGTTGGCAGCTGATTGATGGGACATGGGAGAGAACATGTCCGTGTCTCTCCTGGAGGGGATCTACCAGGCCAGAATGGAGACCCATGAGCAGGGAGCTCTGTCGTGCTTTTCCTGCTCTTCATGTCTGCCTCTGGCACCTCTCATGCACATTGGAGACGGAGCTTATAAATGACTGTCCATGGGAGCCTCGCTTACGATGGGGTTTACCCCTGTCATGGGGTCTTGTCTGCCCTGGGAAATACAATCATGCTTACAGTCAGTGTTGAGCAGTAGAGCCGACCGACAGGATCCTGGCAGGTTCATGCCGACAAACACAACTCACGTCCAGCATCGTGTCAGCTAGTGCCAAAGTTTTGTCACAACCTGCTGACACCATGGGAAGTGTGACTTGTTCTTGTCTAAGCATCACGTCATGAACTTGGTCCTTTCTGGTCGTGTTTCTAACTGGACAATACTGGACTAGCCATTGGTAACACTCACTCCAGGCTGGACCAGGTTGGAGATTGGATCGCAAAGGATGGCATTGTCGCTTGTTCTAACACGAGTTCTCTTGTTGGCTTTTTATTTCAGTGGAAGCCCATTTCAAGCATAAACCTTAGACAGGACTGTCTGGGCGGACCTAAGGAACGAGATTCTGTTTACAACACAACGTGGTTTTATTTGAAATGTAAAAATTAATAATAATAATAATTACAAGCCGTCATTCACCTAATCATGTTGGAAGTCAAGAAGGGAGCACTTCACGGCAGAAGCAATGGAGAAGCTGCTGAGCCATAGGAAAGCAAGTTTGACACTTGTCTAGGTAGGCACAGCCGGGCTTGTTTTCAACCCTGCCCGGTGCTCCACCGTAGACGACATCTCCGTGCGCAACCATTTTGTGTATCTCACTACATTAGGTAAGGAATTACCACAAAGACTGAGCATGTTGTCAATATAGTAGACTCTGAACAATGTGCAGCAGGATGCCCCTTGGTCTGTGCTAACCTGTAATAACACAACCTGTCCTCTCTGGTCCGGGAAGGCCTTGTTCAATGAGTTTGGATGTACTCCGTAAGTAGTATTTTCACAGGGTGGCAACAAATGACTTAACATTCACAATATACCCTAGAGGTGTGAGGTTTGTCCACCTGGAAACGTGGTCGATGGCTAGAAAGTGGTAAAACCTAAAAGGTTTTCTGTGAAAAAAATGAAACTTAGAAAATGAAATGTGATGCAAGGAAAGAAAGCTCTTTTTATATCCTCTGTAGAAACCTTCTTAAGCTACCGTTTCAACAACCAGTTAGACTAATGGTGGCTGGGTTTTGTTGGCTTGACTTTCACCTCCTGCAAAGTTCCAGTAGTTCAGACGTGAGATGGATACATGATTTGATCCTAGTTTTGGATCTGAACTTTCCCAGAATTTGGGGCCGTCTGGACCAGTTAATGTCCTGAGGGCAAACTGGTGAAGTCCTGATCCAAATCCAAATTCCCTTCGAATTCACATCTGGTGCTTCGCTCTGCATCTTTGGTGTCAGCACACTTAGTCTTTGGCATTTCTGCTCCCTATGGGCTAGTGGATTTGAATCCGGCAGGCTTTTCTTGAAGCTCTCGCTGTCCTGAGTCTCCTCAACAACACATTTTCTCGTATCGCAAAGGACTGGGGATTTTCAGAAACTGTGAAGTCCTAAGAGACTACAGAGCAGAAGCTTAAACACAGAGGAAAAAGACATTATCTTTTAGTGCAGGGAAGGATGAATTATAAAGAGTAGGGGTCAGCGTGACACATCAGAAAGCAGTATTACACATTCTGCTGGTGTTGGCTGGTACTAATGCCTTAAAAAGTAAGGCACCTGAATATGACTCTTAAGGTGTTGAACATAAGGCTCCCAGTCATAAATTTCCTTGGTATTATGGCACATGGACAGTATATACTAGACAGTCTCCCAAATGCATCCTTTTTCATGCTGTTTCATGCTTAAGGTTGATGGTAAGGAAACAGTTTGCCAAGAAACCGTCTCAATGCCAAAGCGTAGGGTAGGCATCTTCTCAGCCCTGTGGTGGCTCCCGGCTGCGTAGGGTGTCCTTCTGTACGAGGACCCCTCACCGACTCCGGGAACACTTGCCCCAGGTCCCTGCAGTGCACTTTGGAGGGAAGATCTGTACCCAGACCTGGGACATGACCCATGACTAACTTGATTTGCATCCCTTTTGACTCTACTGGGTGGGCAAGGGATGCAGGACTAGGAGGGCATTTAGGACATACAGTGTGAATCTGTGCAGGGGCCCAACATCCCTGAAGCCAGTTCACTCCTTCACACAATTCCTTCTGTGTTGCTAGTGTCATAACCTGCTAACGGTCTCTCAGCGTTTCTTTCGAGATGGAAGAGCTGAGCTGAATAAGCTACTAGCTAAAAGCAAAGGGCTGTACCCATTGCAGTGCCAGCCAGATGTCTTTACAATGTACAGTAAAAGTACGCGACTGCCATGACTTGAAGAAAACTGCATGTGCACTTTGTAGGGAGCTCGCACAAAGTGGAATTTGAAATGGTTCCAGCTTACGTCGTCTTGTGATGTGTAGATGTTGCTAATGACTGATTCTCAACATGTCATACAGGTGAGGTCCAAATAATTTAATGTAGGCGAATGCCACGCCTTGTAAGCAATGATAACTTGTACAGCAGGGGAGTGTGCGGAAGTGGGAGGGAGGAGTGGTTCCAGCAATCAGAGTTGTTGGCCTCATTAACTGCTCACCAAAGTGCACACCCAAGAAGTGCCCATTACTGACAAAGGAATGTCGATGCGGGGAAAGCCCGGCCTTTTCCCACGCAGCACGTCCAGCTGGGGCCAGGGGAGACAGGCCCATCAGGAATGACAGTGACAGCAGGCTGGAGTTTTAGCTGTATGCAGTGGACAGGGAGAATCCGGCACGGACTCAGACACTAACCAGACACAAAAATCAAAGCCCCGCATGCACAAACACTGCTGCTCTGAGACCACTCCTAATTATAGTGCATAGCCTTCCCGTTTGGTCACAGAGAGAACGCGGCATGAAAACGGAGGTCGAGCAGTCTTCTCCCAGCATTGTCATTTCCACAGCAGGGCGAGGGGCAGCACCGTATTAGTGACACCTATCCCCCACCCCTCCCAAGCCTACGAGGCTCCCAGTGACCATATTCCAGGCCCAGGGGCTTTTGTACCCTCTCCACTCAACCTTGTTCAGGGGTCCCCTTTCTTTATTTGCCCCTCCCCGCCAGTTCAGACGCCCAGCCTGTGGGTTTTGGGACCAATTACATCCTCTGCAGAGGGCTTCAGTACACTGTCACTGTTGCACAGGCCTCCAGGGTTGCACAATGCAAATGTGCTCAGCCTTATTACATGGTAGAGGAAGGAACCGTGGTACATGCAGAGGAGGGAAGGACAGCATTGCAAAATGGATCCAGAGGGGCTCCCCCGTGGTGCGGGTCGGGTGTGCGGAGATGCTCTTCTGTTGCCACTGCTTAGACTCCTAGAAAAACGGGACTGGAAGGGTCTTCGGGAGATCATCTACTCGAACCTCCTGCTCAAGGGAGGATCATCCCAATCCAAACTGCCCTGTTCTTACAAACATCAGGGAGATCGTCAGCCACAACTACCGGGCACAATGCCCCGAACGTAAGAAGTACCCTTTAATGTGCTGCAGATAAAGCAGTGTCCTGCCTACCCGGCACTTGGTTCTTCTGCCTTTGTTCAGCTCCAGAGGCAGGGATTTGGGCATGCACTCTGCTTTTCACAGCACCCAGTCCAGAAACAGGCCGTTGGACCAGGGTGTGAGGGGAGGAGAGGGGATCCCAGCCTGGAAGATCCAGCTCTTGTACTAACGCAAGCCGCTTAGTGTCAATGGAAAGGCTTGGTTGCCATGTCCGGGTTTCACAGAAGATGGATGATAGGAAGGGAGGGAGAAGGAGGGAGTTCTTGTGTGGCCATTGGCACGGGCTCAGTCGGGCGTTAACCCTGTCTCCAGATCTGTAAGGAAGGCGTGATCCAGGCCGAGGACAGTCACTCATTCCAGCCAAATTGTCACTGAAGTGGTTGCACTCTCGCCGCAGCCTGAAGAGGAAGCTGGGCGGGGGTGAGGTGGAAGCCAA